ACACACACACACACACACACACACACACACACACACACACACACACAACTTAGCCAAACTTCAAACTTCAGAGCTCCCTAGTGGTGAGGAGGGGAGGAGAAGGGAACTTCAACCCCCTCCAGCCTCCCACCCTCTTTCCCCAGAGTCACGTCTGACCCGTCTGGTTTCCAGGAGCAACCAGACATGATGTAACACCCAGATGAACTTGAACTTGGGGGTGTTGAGAAGAAAAACAATGGCTCTGGGCAGGGTCTGGAACCAGCCCCCTCTGCTCTGTGCCAGGGAGGCCGAGAAAGCCCTGCTGGCAGAAGGTGGGAGGGGGTGCCAGAGGAAGGGACAGCAGGCGGGCCTCCCCTCCCAGCTCTGGGCTGGCACCAGGAGCAGGGCTCCATTGCTCACTCCCTCTCCCCCTCCTGCCACCCCTGCTCTGCAGTGCAGTGCGCTTGCTCTGCTGAGAGCCCTTCCCTCTCTCTCGGTTTTGCCTTCTTCACTTTCTCTGCTCACTTTACTTGGACATTTTGAGGCCAAGTCAGAGTTTGAGGCAAGTTCGGGGGAACAGTTTGTCTCTCTCTCTCTCCCTCACTGCCTTCGGTTGCAGGTGAGGAAGTGAGTCCTAGCTGGTCCAGGACCCGTGATGGGGCAGGTGTGTCTGGGGAAGTTAGACACACCCTGGAGCAGAAGCCCTTGGGCCTGGGGGCAGGCAGGCGGCTGTAGGGGGACAATCAGGACTGGTTTCCACAGTAACCAGTGACTTTAGCTGATCCTTGGAGCACCAGATGGAGACAGAACAATAGAATGAGGGAAGAAAAGAAAATTTTAGCAATTTTATCATTCCCTAAATAGTGCTTTTTTACTTAGTTTTAATCAGTTTGGGGCCTGGCTTGAGAAGCAGGGAGGGGGTAAACAGAAAAGGCAGCCTGGGCTTGACCGTAGACCCTGCTCTTGCAGCCCGTGGAGACACGACTAAGTCCCCATTCTAGGCCTGAAACCAGAATCTTCATCCCCTGAGGATTCCCCCACTTTTGAGACTATAAGGCTATGTAGTACAAGAAACTTCCAGGGGAGAGTTTGGGCCTTGGTGTGGTGGCCCCCATGTCCCATGTATTCTCCACCCACCTGTGTCTGTTACGGAAGCAGAGGAGGGGTAGCTTCCCTGGCCTGGAGCAGTGGTGTAGGAGCCCATTGGGTCCCTTGGGTCCCAGAGAACACCAGAGCTAGAAGCTCAGAGCTCTGACTGACTTCACTCTGGGAGGACACTCCACCTGGTTTCCACCTCATCTTCCCAGGCCCTTCCTGGCTTGAAATGAGTGGACAAGCGGGACTTTAGGTAGCTGCTTGCAAAGCCACAGAGGGAGACAATCCCTCCTGTGCACGTCCTGCCTGGCACCCTGTAAGCAGTCCGCGTCACTGGCAGGCAGCACCCTTTGCTGTGGCAGTACCCACACTTCCAGATGTCCATCCTTTGCACCTGCTTTTGTCCTCACCACTGGCCACAGGCAGTGTTGTGCATTGAAATTAATTAGAGAAAACCCCAGGGCTGGAGAGAGAGCTCCGTGGAAGAGCACTTGTTTAACGTTCTCAATGGCCTGGGTTGAGTCTCCACACCTCAGTCCGCAGTCCACATTCCAGATTCATCTTATGAACCATGGTATCGGTGACCTCACTGGACAGCATATCTAGGACTCCATTGCCACAGAAGATTCTAGAGGATCTTTGAAGCTCGAGCCTTATTTTTATCTACGTATGTGTATGTACACACGCAGGAGTGTGTGTAACATGCATGTATGGGCTTCGTTCAGTCAGTTCTCTCCTTCCACCTTTCTGTAGGTTTAGGGAGTAAATTCAGGTCACATGACTTACATGCTGGACCTAAAGGAGCAAGACACTGTGCCTCTCAGACTCCATTGCTGTTTCTTGTGTTTAGTACCCCCGTTTCACAGAGCCATTTACTGCAATTTCAAACCAGAGCCTCAGGGACAGGGTCTGATGTGAGCTGATCAATATTGGAATATTCACAGTTTCAGGTTTTAAATAGTGTTGGTTCCCAGGACCTCAGGCATGCTAGGTAAGGCCACACCCCAACCCAGTAGTGATGGGTTTTCTATTTTTGTTTTGTTTTTGAGCCAGGACCTCCCTACATAATATAGGCTGGCCTCAAACTTGATCCCCTTGCATCAGTCTCCTGAGTATTGGGATTACTAGCAAGTTTTTTTTTTTAAATCACACTTGGATCCAAAATTTGTGTGTGTGTGCATGTGTGTGTGTGTGAGTTTTGAGACAGGATCTTGCTCTGGGTTAGGACTGTGAAGTCCTAAGTAACCTCAAGTTCTCAACAATCCTTTTATCTTGGTCTCCTAAGGGCTAAGATGACAAGAATAAACCACCAATCCGGCTTCCAGTAGAGTGTGTGCGTGTGTGTGCATGTGTGTGCATTTGCGTGTGCATGTGTGTGTGTGTGTGTGTGTGTGTGAGAGAGAGAGAGAGAGAGAGAGAGAGAGAGAGAGAGAGAGAGAGTTTGTTCGTTTGTTTGTTTGTCTTTCAGACAGGGTGTCTTAATGTAACCCTAGTTGTCCTGGAACTCACTATGTAGACCAGGCTGGCCTCCAACTGACAGAGATCCACCTACTGGGATTAAAGCCATGCACCACCATGGCTGGTTCTAGGAGTATTTTAAATGCTGGACCATTTCATATGAAATTTTGCCTGGATTTCTGGTTTCTTTTGAAAAGTTGGCAACTTCAGCTGCCTGGTGCCTTCACCCCAACTTAGCAGGCTGGACTCTACCTAAGCAGATCACAGACCTTCCCATCCAGTCCTGCCTCCTCATGATTCTGAACATGAAGTAAAGAGGCGCACAGGCTCTTAACCTTAAACTCCCTGCATTGGAGATCCACTGAGTCATCTTAGGACTGTGACCTCAAGCAGGTCAAGATCACCCATCCTGTGGGTACACCAATGTGGGCTTGGGACAAGGATAGAATGAAGCAGTATCTAGTGTGTATGTTCTGTAGTTGGCACTGCCTGGTCCTGTATACACAAGTCCGTGACATGGAGCTCCAAGATGCCCCCGTTAAAACGCCAGGGACCCTCATTTTGTTGTGAAGGTACTGTCAGGTATACCCAAGCAAAGGAATAGGTCTGGAGAAGAGTCCTCCACTCCCCTTTGGGCAGGAAACCAGAGGAGAGCCTTTGATGGAGGGCGTTGCCAAGCAGCCAGCCCCAGGGGTCCACCCTGTGTGTACTCAGCGTTCACTGCCAGGAGGGCCCTATATACGGGAAGGCAGCGCCCCCTGCTGGCTTTCTAGGGAAGCAATGCCCACCGCAGGGAGCTTCAGGCTCTTTCCCCAGTCTAGTGCCCTGAAGGCCCAGGATCCTGCTGGGTGGGTGGGCTCTGGCCCCCTCCCCCAGGCTGGCCCCGGTAGGAACTGAAGCCATGTGGTTCCCTGCCCCCAGCCTCTCAGCCCGAGGGACAGGACGTTGGCTGGGATGTACAGACGTGAATTTCTGCTTTTAATCCAAAGAGACAGAAAGAAAACTCAGCAAGAACTCAAGCTGGGCCACCCCCACCCTACTCCGCCATCCCCTGCGGGTACAAAAGCCCCAGCCTGGCATCCTCCCCACCTTCCAGGTCCCACACAAAACCTAAACAATTGCAAACATGGCCAGATCCCAGGTCTTGGCCAGTGCCAGTCATGGGGGTCCCACCCGCTGGGCACAGTGCCCACGGGAAGGCCAGCTGGACTCTTGCACTGGGGAATGGGTCTGGGGGGGATTCCCTCAGAGGGTGGGGAGAATAAGCTGGCTTCTTCCATTGGGGTCAGCTGCCCAGCACCCTGGCTCCTCCTCCTGAGCTCACTGTAGACGGTGGGGGTCATAGGGCCAGGTGGGGGTGAGATGGGAGCTGGGACCTTTCTGGCTGTTCTCATTGTCGGTTCTTTTTTTTTTCCCCCTGGTTCCGTTTCAGTCCTGGTTCCTCTGATTAAGATCAACAAAGAAACAACAAAATTTTTAAAAAGAGGTTCCTCAAAAGGGGGGAGAAGAAATTTTGAGACATGGAAATATCCCCCAGCCCAGCCCCACCGAAAAGCAAAACTTAGACGTCGTCAGCCACTCAGCCCTTCCCTCCTCCAGCCCGGGTAGCCCTGCGGTCCAAAGCAGCCCAGTCCTGGGAGCCCTCGGAAGGGGTCTCAGCCGAGTTGTACACCAGCAGCCAAGCAGAAAGAAGCATGCTAAGCGGACTCTGCTAAGCAGAGGACAAACAGAAAGAAAAGAAGCAACCCAGCCCGGCCTTCCCGGGAAGGTGGCACCCCTGCGGTTCCTGGGGACCCCCACCCTCCGCTGGACCTAAGCTTCCTTCGGAGCCCAGAGGAACAGCTCTTAAAAATGATGGAAGTAGACATTCGAGCTCACCTCCGGACTTCGCCCCTCCCTCCTCTCCCTCTCGCCCTTCCTGGGAGCCTCTGCTCAGGCTTCTGTCCCCTGCTGCTCTGGACTAGGATGGCCCCGGGGTGGGCAGGGGATGTTCTTTGGAGGTAGCTAAGCTAAATTCAGCGTTGAGTCCAGAATGGAGGGTGTTCTGCCACCTCCCTCCTCCGCCCCGAACCGCACGGGCAGTTCTCGGGCCGGACCCCCTCTGTACAGCACACAGGAAAAAGTCAGAATGCTCTGGACTGGACGCTCAGCCCGGCACTGGCACCCTCTTCCATCCCCGCAGGCCGCGAGGGCTGCCCTCTGCCACGCCCCTAGTGAAGGGAGTCGGCCCCAGGTCGCCCCGCACCCCAGCCCTGCATGCAGGTGCCCTCGCTCCGCCCCTCTGCCCTGCCCCTGCCCTTGCCGCACACAGCCCTCCAGGGGCCGGCTGAGAGTGGAGCAGAAAGGGCCCCGGAGCCGAGCGAGGAGGACAAGGCTGCCTCCACCTGCACTAGGTAGGCGTCCTGTTCTCGAGACTTTCAGTTCCTGTGGAGGGTGGTGGTGGGGTGTCATCCTTTTAAAAGAGTGTTCTGGAGCTTTCTGGTCCCCTTCCCTTCCCGCCACACCCCGTGGCCACTTCTCCCTAGATTTTAGCTGTAATGTCTTTCCTCTTTATTTAGGGGTGGGGCAGTCATTGTTTGGGTCTTTCGCTGTTGCAGTTGGGAACTCCTCTGAGCAACTTGGGAACAATTTCATAACACACCACAGGAAGCAGCTCTCCTCCCAGCCCCCTCCTCCTGCAAGGGATGGTGGAGGCTTGTCCAGAGGGTCTTGAGAAGCCCCCTGGGAGGGAGGGGAACGCGAGCACGCCAGCCCCCCTTCAAGGTGACTGGACCCCTCTGGCTTGTCTTTCTGTGCCTTAGTCCTCCTTCCCTGCATCTCCCCTCCTAGGCCCATTCTCAAGGCCTTGTGCCTCTCCGGTATGAAAACACAAAGCACAGGTCAGGATCCTCCGAAAGTTGGTCCAACATTGCACCAATGTGGGGGTGGGTTGTGGGCTTTATTTATTGAGAATCTAGTTGGTGAGGCTGCGGCCCTGAGCGGGCGAATGGCCGCGTGCAGGGAGCTCGGGATTGAGAGGCAGCTGTCCGGGCGGGCGCGCTGCGTGGAAGTTGAGTGAAGCCCTCCCCTGTGGCGTCGAGGGCCCGGGGTGGAGATCCCGCGGGGGACCTCCCTGTGCGAGGGGAGGGAGCCCCAGGATGGGGGGCCGGGCGGGCCGGGCGTGACGCGCGGTCAAAGTGCAATGATTTTTCAGTTCGGTTGGCGAAACAGGGTCAGAGCTAAGAGCTAGCGAAAGAGGGTCCCTGCCCGGCCGCATGCGCCTCTTCGGTTGGTCGAAGACAGTCGGGCTGCGGGCGGGAGCTGTGGGTTTGCGGGGCACACGCCCCGGGCGAGGTCAGAAGCTGCAGGCCAGCTGGGCCGGGGCCCAAGGTGCCCGGCGAGGTACCCCCGGAGGACGGGGTTGGGTGGGGGTAGCGCTCCTTTCCCAAGTGGTGTTGTGAGGGGCAGGCGAGGGACGATGAGGGCAACAGATGTGGGGACGTGTTAGGAGAGGAAACAACCCACAAAAAATATAGGGGAAATTTACCTTTTTTTTTTTTCATTGAACCAAGTGCAATGCATCAGAGAGTTTTCCTATCTTTGTATGTTAAGAGATTAAGAAAAAAAATTCTATTTTTGTTGTAATGTCCTCGCGGCTCTGGGGACGCTAAAAGAACTGGGCCTGCCCTGCCCTTAGCGGGGATGAAAGCTGAGTGTTTTTTCTTTCTTTTTTTTTTTTTCCTTTTTCTTTTTTTGATAGTTCTCTGGGTTTTTTTGTTTGTTTGTTTGATTGGTTGGTTTTTGCCGTTTTCCTGAGTTGACGAGGATAATCTGGGGTTTCAATTTGTTTCGTCGTTCGGTTTCGGTGGGAGGGCTGAAGAAAACGTTCACATTTTATATTTAAAAAAAACACCTCGACATTTAAAAAAAAACCAACACAAGATCAAAAGGAAAAGGACGAGAGAAAATTATTTTTAAGATAATTAACATAAAAAACCCTGGTGCTTATTACATTATAAAGTACGTTTTTAAAAAACCCACAAACTATTATACATACGTTTATGAATCAATTAAATATTCTGCACTTGTTAGGAACACGCATATCCCTTCTTTGTTGAGTTTAACGGAACGGGACAGCGGCGTGCGCCCCGCGGCTGGGCTGCTCTGGCCGCGGGTCTCCCTGGGCGCCCCTTCCCCCCTTTCTCGCCCCCTCCCCCTCCGGGCACTGGGGCGCGGCGGGGGTCCCCGGCCCCCTCCCCCGCAGAGGTCAATGCCAACGAACAAACGTCCCTTTTCCCTTCCTTCCCACTCCGAGCGCCCTTCTTTGAGCCAGACGCCAACTTGACCCTCACCAGCATTAATCAGGAGCGCGCTCAGCAAGTTGGTAGTTTCCTCCCCAACCCCTTCCCACGTAACACCGCTCTTCCCCTCCCTCCGGGAGGTTCGATGCTCCAGGACAGGTCCAGCCACGCTGACAGGTCGATTTGCCCAGGCCCGCGCACGCACGCACGCACGCACACAGCCC